ATGTGGACTTGGTTTTGCAGTGAAGAGGCTGGTTTCCTCAAAGGCAATGAAATGTTTCTACTTTAGCAAAGAAAAACCTCAAGATCATGAAGTTAAAACGAGAAAGTTTGATTCCATTTCGATGGCGAGAGGAGGATCAGGATCTGAGTTTAACTCTGAAACAAGTACTACTGCTTCTATGACGTCCTCCTTGCACGTCCTCTCTGAGACACACAGTAACAATCTCAGAGTCTTTGCCCTCGAAGACCTCAAAATCGCTACCAAGAATTTCAGCCGGTCCTTGATGATCGGTGAAGGTGGCTTCGGTGGTGTGTTTCGTGGCGTGATTCAGAATCCTGAAGATTCTCGGAAAAAGATTGATATTGCAGTTAAACAACTTAGTAGAAGAGGTCTACAGGCAAGTAAAACTCTCTCTTTATTTCCTACTTTTGTCTCTCTCTGCTTGCTTAATAACATCATTTGCAATTTGATTTTTTCGGTTTGTTAGGTTACACTAAATTCAGTTTTTGGTTTGGTTTTGAATAATTTTGAAGCATTTTCAGTATCTAACAACATAATCACATAACAGGGGCATAAAGAATGGGTTACAGAGGTAAATGTGTTGGGAGTAGTGGAGCATCCGAATCTAGTGAAGCTGATCGGTTATTGCGCAGAGGATGATGAGAGAGGGATCCAACGGCTACTTGTTTATGAATACGTACCAAACAGAAGTGTTCAAGACCATTTATCTAATCGTTTTATAGTCACTCCTCTCCCTTGGTCGACCAGAATGAAGATAGCTCAAGACACTGCTCGAGGACTCGCTTATCTTCACCAAGGCATGGAGTTTCAGGTCTCTTGTCCATCCATGATCACAAATAACTTTGAAACTTTTTTATATATGTTGTTGAAATGTATATATGTCTTTTATGCAGATCATCTTTAGAGATTTCAAATCTTCCAACATTCTTCTTGATGAGAATTGGAATGCAAAGCTCTCTGATTTCGGACTGGCTCGAATGGGTCCTTCTGATGGAATCACTCACGTCTCCACCGCGGTACGCCACGCCTCACCTATTATGACTCGACTGATTGGCTTTTGAGACAATAAAAGTTGTTTGATTGGTATGCAATAACCAAACTGTGAATCCACAGGTTGTAGGAACCATTGGTTATGCAGCACCAGAATACATCCAAACAGGACACCTCACGGCCAAAAGCGACGTGTGGAGCTACGGAATCTTTCTCTATGAGCTCATCACAGGGAGACGACCGTTCGACCGAAACCGTCCAAGAAACGAACAGAACATCTTGGAGTGGATCAGACCACACTTATCTGACATAAAGAAGTTCAAGATGATCATTGATCCAAGACTCGAAGGAAACTACTACCTCAAATCGGCATTGAAGCTAGCGGCAGTTGCAAACCGGTGTTTGATGGTGAAGGCGAAGTCCAGACCAACAATGAGTGAGGTTTCAGAGATGTTAGAAAGGATAGTGGAAACGTCAGATGATGCTCGTCATGGAATGCCATTGATGAAGAGCTTGACACCTAAAGATGCCTTTGAAGCGTCAAGGAGGGAGAGAGTTAAGAGAAGATTTGTTGAACTTTTAATTGGGGTTAATGGATGTCCTAATTTGCCTACTTGGTCTCCTAAACTTGTTACTTGATTTTGAGATTACAAACAACTCAGCGTTTGTGTTTATGCAAATATTATTTGACATTATAACTCCTCCCTAAACCTTTTTCATTAGGACAGTTTTGTGGAAACAACATAATAAGCTTAAAAATTGACTGGAGTTTGTACTACTAGCACAATATCTACTTCGGTGAATTAATTTCTAAAATTCTTAGGTTTGAGGTTTGATTGATAATTTCTTTTTAAACCAAAAATAGTAGCGGACGAGTGTTTTTGCCTCATCAAGTACTCGCCCCGTTGATCTAAATTAGAAAACAAATTCCGTCAAACATAGAGTTATCACATTATTTCGTAAATGCTTAAATGGCAAAAATACATCGAATCTCTATGGATATGAAGAATACTAGTCGGAGTTTTGGTTTAGAATTGTTTGAGGTAATCAAACAACTCTTTAATCGTAGTGATTAGAAATAAATCATTTCCAATCACAAAAACGGAAACACATTCTAATGCAGTATCTTTTGATACGGGTAAAACGGCATGCAGTTTCTTTCCCCCAGTATCCATGGTAAACGCCATGTCGTTTTTTCCAGCTCTCTTCACTTTTATGTTCTCTGATTTCTTACAGACTTCAATGTTCCGATTAAGCTCGACACAATCCACTTCCATTGTTTCGTCGATTAGGGTTTTTTCTTCACAATGCTCTCCATAAGCCGCCATGCCAAAACCCTAGCTTCCACCACCACAACCCAGAAACGGACTTATGTCGACGTTTACATGAAATGGAAGAAAGATCATTACTTTGACAACATCGAACACATTCTCCGATCTCCTCAGCTCAAATCCGTCGTCTCTCTCAAAAACTGCATCGCCCAAAACCCCAACGGCTGCATTCCGATCTCCTCCGTCTCGAAGAAGACGCTTCAATTCGATGTATCGACCAAAATCGCAAAGTTCTTAAGACAATTCCCTTCAATCTTCGAGGAATTCGTTGGTCCAGAGTACAATCTTCCATGGTTTAGATTGACACCAGAAGCTGCAGAGTTAGATAAAGAAGAGAGAATCGTTTACCAAAACAACGCAGAGGATTTGCGTGATAGGTTAAGGAAACTGATTCTGATGAGTAAAGATAAGGTTTTGCCACTTAGTATTGTTCAAGGAATGAAATGGTATCTTGGTTTGCCTGATGATTACTTGAAATTCCCAGAGATGAATCTTGATTCTTCGTTTAGGTTTGTTGATATGGAAGATGGAGTTAAAGGTTTAGCTGTGATTTGTAATGGAGAAGAGGTTTTGTCTGTGTTGCAGAAGAATGCAATCAAGAAGAGAGGAGGTTGTTCAGAAATTGAGTTTCCTCTGTTTCCAGCAAAAGGTTGTAGATTGAGAGTAAAGATTGAAGATTGGTTAAAAGAGTTTCAAAAGCTTCCTTATGTATCACCATATGATGATTATTCAAGTTTGGATCCAAGTAGTGATGTAGCAGAGAAGAGAGTTGTTGGTTTTCTTCATGAATTGCTTTGTCTCTTTGTTGATCATTCCGCGGAAAGGAAGAAGCTTTTATGTCTCAAGAAGTATTTCGGATTGCCACAAAAGGTTCATAAGGCTTTTGAGAGACATCCACAAATCTTTTACTTGTCTATGAAGAACAAGACTTGTACTGCTATTCTAAGAGAGCCTTATAGAGATAAAGCAAGTGTGGAAACACATCCCGTGTTAGCGGTAAGGAAGAAATACATCCAATTGATGAAGAACTCAGAGTCCATTCTCAAGAATAGAAGGAAAATTTACGGGTTTTCGAACGAAGAAATTGTTGAGAAAGATTTGGATTTGGATTTTGAAGGCTGAAGGCAGAAAATTTGGATTTGTAGTCACCAATCTTTATTAACCAGAGAGAGATCATGAAAGTATTTGTTTCAAACCAGTCTAAAGGTGCAAATCACCACTCAGAATATTACAAACTGTAAATGCAAGAATCAATTGCTATATGAAATTGAATTGAAAGGCAGACAAAAAGAACAAGTATTCCCCAGAAGACAAAATGGGTATTGAGATTTGTAAAAAAAAAAAAGAATTGAGAGATTTTATGTTCATCTGATTAATTCCTCAATGATCTTGGAGAGAGCTGAATATGAGCCAATGGCTGAAGATACTGCTCCTATTATGATGACTAAGACACACAGCGTCATCTGCAAAAATACAAACAAGTCCATGAATCTCAAAACATTAGAAACAATGTTTTTGTGATAAACTAATAATGAAAATACAGGATTTGCTTTGAAGATTACCTGAGTCCGGGTAACATTTCCCCGTACGATGCTCAAGAAACACGCTGGAGGAAGTATTAGCGTCTGCACAAAACAAAATATGAACTTCAACTATCCAAACTTTAAGGTCTCATTTGCAACTAAACCAGAAAATAATGTCGGGAAAGACAGCTTACAACGAGCATTGTCAACAATGATCCAATCAATGACATGACAAGACCTGCAAGATTTTTGAGTGTTAAACTAATAATAGTAAATGTATGATTCTAAAGAAAGTGAGCTTTAAATCAAAATGTTAGAGAGGATCTTACCGAAGAAAGGAATTGCAAGACCGACAAGCAGAGTAGAGAAGACCAATGCGGTTCTAATGGCAATGGCGTACCAATGTGACTTGTTATGCCTTGATGGTATCAATTCCTCAAGACTCAGTGCTACTGGAGATATGGTCAAAGCATATGTGATTTCTTTTGTTAAGGTACACACACATGATGATGAATTTTTAGGGAAGTTAACAGTAAAAGAAAACTATTTCTGAAGTATTTTCTTGCAAAAGGATATTTGGTAAATGGATTGACCACCTGCAAAAATGGTTATAACATAACGGTTTTAGTTACATGTGATCATAACCAAGATGCAATAAGTAGTGAAAAGAAAACATATTGGATCTACTTACCGTAGTCCATATAGCAATCTTAGTTGCAACCAAATCCTGAGGCAAGTTGAGAGTAAATTGTGATTGTGTTGATTCTCCGAACATTGTATAACCCATAACAGCTACTCCGGCATACATCAAAGTACAAATACCAAAACTGCAAAAAGATAATCAATCTTTGTGCTATCAAAATGTTTGTAAGAACTTTTTAAAGGCCTTCATAAGCTTACCATGTCAAGAGAACAGCAGGATATTGAGTCGGTTTCGCCATAGAAGTATAAATATTGGGGAAAACAGCATGTCCTGAGTAGCAGTAACCGTAAAGCCCTATAGCTACAGGTAAAGTTGACAAATTTAATGTAGTTCCTTTGCTGTGAATTCCAACTTCATCT